CTTTTTTTGGGCTTGTGATGGGAACCTCTGGAAAATAATGCCAATATCTTCTATTTGAAAAAGGGATTTCCGTTTTTTTTTGGCTTGTGATGGCAACCTCTGAAAAATAATATCAATATCTTCTATTTGAAAACGGAATTTCCGTCTTTTTTCTGGGCTTGTGATGGGAACCTCATTTGAAAACGGGATTTCCGTGTCTTTTTTTGCTTTTCTGGAAAATAATGCCAATATCTTCTATTTGAAAACGGGATTTCCGTGTTTTTTTTTGGCTTGTGATGGGAACCTTTGGAAAATAATACCAATATCTTCTATTTGAAAACGGGATTTCCCTTTTTTTGGGCTTGTGATGGGAACCTCTGGAAAATAATGCCAATATCTTCTATTTGAAAACGGGATTTCCGTGTCTTTTTTTGCTTTTCTGGAAAATAATGCCAATATCTTCTATTTGAAAACGGGATTTCCGTGTTCTTTTTTGGCTTGTGATGGGAACCTTTGGAAAATAATACCAATATCTTCTATTTGAAAACGGGATAGAAGCGGGACCCGGCCGAAGGTTCTTTTGCACTCCCCTCTTCGGGGGGTCACCCGGGTCTGGGCGTCAATGTTCTATTGATTTTATTTTTAAAAAAAAACCCTGCAAAAAATCACAAAAAATGGCAGTGGGACAAAAGATCTTCAAATAGACGATATTGCAAACATCATCCCAATGTTGATGGTTGCCAAGTGCAAAAGTAGTTCAAAAGACCAACAATCCAACAGTAACCCCTTCAACATTGGGATGATCTTTGCAATATCTTCTATTTGAAAACTGTTTTTCATGCATTTGGGATCTGTCGAACTCATGGGGTTGCAAATGAATATCTTCTATTTGAAAACCATTTTGTGGAACTCTCTGGGTTCCCTCATGAAACATTATCTTCTATTTGAAAAGTGTGTTTCAGTACTCCTCGAATATCTTCTATTTGAAAAATAAATTGCATTACAGATTATCTTCTATTTGAAAAGTGGTTTGAATCACCATCCCTCAATCAAAAAAGCTAAAAAAAACCATGGTTTTTGAACAGTTTTTCACCGACCCCCCCCCCGAAGGCGAGAGTGCCAAAGTACCTCCGGCCGGGTCCCACTTCGGGAGGTACTTTGGCACTCTCCTCTTCGGGGGGTCACCCAGGTCCGGGCGTCAATGTTCTATTGATTTTAGATAATTTCCCTGCAAAAAACACAAAAAATGGCAGTGGGACAAAAGATTTTCAAATAGAAGATATTCCAAAGATCATCCCAATGTTGAGGGGTTTATTCTTGGATTTTTGGTCATTTGAACTACTTTTGCACTCTGCAATATCTTCTATTTGAAAAGCGTTTGGCCGCACCCCCAAAAAGCATCTTCTATTTGAAATAATTCCTGAATATCTTCTATAATAACGGTATGTACTATAGATATATAGGGAGATAGATAGACAGACAGACAGATAGATAGGTAGACAGATAGATCAATAGGTAGGTAGGTAGATAATCAGAGAAAGATAGAGAAACAGAGAGAAAAAGAGAGAAAGAGAGAGAAAGAGAGGAGACCTCAAGCACCTTTCAGTCCATCAGTGGCTTCGCTCTGCCATCCCTGATTCACAACAACCAACCTCTCCTATAGGTTTCCTATTTTTGAAACTTCCGCCACCGCCTTGTGCGGTACTACTGGTAGATATTTATGGTGGTATTCACTTTTTTAATGGGGATGATAAACCATGGCAGACTGGTAGACCATTGTTATAATGGGGATGGAATATCTAACCAACGTGATATTTGGCTGTGTCTGGAAATGGGGGATGGAGCCCAGCAAATCTGAGGCTCCTCTACCCTATTTTCAGGATCAAGAATGGTGTAAAACCATCCAGTATTTATCAATCACACCAAACTGAACACTGAATGAATACTGAATGAATACTGAATGAATACTGAATCTCCATCTCCAGCCCGTTCCAGGAAAACTGCAGCCCGTTCCGTGCCATATTCCAACCGCTGCCGCCAAACCTCACCCAGACACGGATCCAAGATATCGAAGAGCTCGTGCAGGTCAGCTGCGTTGCCGCATCCGGGAGCGTCCGCCAACAGAGCCTCCCATGGCCGATCATCTCACGGTATATATCCAGAAAAGTTGCCCAAGGCATCACCAATCTTAGATGCGACTTGTCTTGCTAGTGTATATGTGTATGTATATATATATATACATATGCAAAATATCATACAGGCAAAGTTCTGAAAAGTTGCATCGCTATCGTAGCATCCATCAACCCAGGGCCCAGGCCCAAGGGGCCCAGGGGCCTCACAGGCTGCCACAAATTCATAGCGTCCTAAGGCTCCATCTCCCGGACTGACCATGGCACTGACACAGCAAGCTGCTCATTGAGGAAGCGATCGATCCGAAAGCAGAAATTGAAAGAAGGAGAAATTGCTGCCTTATGGACTGAACTTCACTTTGTATCTGGATACATGTGTATGGAAAATATATAATTATGTAATATATATATACACACGCGTTTCTATGCGTATGTTTGATCCAAGAATTTAGAACCTGCAAGCCTATGGGAGGCTTCCTGTTCAAATGGACTATATTTGCAATATTGCTGTCCATTTGGACCTGCCCAAGTGCTGCAGTTGTCTCATGTTCATTCATATTCATGTTCTATCTGTTAGGTGCATCATGGTGCATCTATTTATCCACTTGGCAGGGTGACCATCTATTTTTAGCATGGATAGTTTCTACAGTGAAGGCTTCCCAAGCCTGGAAACCCCCAGTTTTTGATCCAAAATGTAGCAAATTCGAAGATGGCAGCACCACGTCTTCTTCGATGTGTTCCAAGAGGCATCGACCACAAGCCTAAAACACTAGCGATGCGACAGCCTAAAACGCAGCCTTTTCTCTATTTAAATCTTCGTCACAGATGTCACAGATCTCAGCGAGAGGGCTGTGGATATGCACAAGTGGCAATGGTCGCCAAGTTCAGAGGTTCCAAAGGTAGTCACTTCGCAAGCAGCAATCCGGGGGTCCAATCTACTGGATTATCTCAAGGACAGAAAATATGACATCGAACCGAATCGAACCTCGGCAGCCCCTCTCACGTCTGTGCAGCTAAGCAAACTTAGCGGGACGTGCTTCGACGAGCAGCCATGGAAGATAGGTACAATATGGTACAATTGCGTATGTACATGTATCTGATGTGTCTAATTTTACGGCCAGCACTTCTGCTATGCCAGCTGCTATGCCCCAAACTCTTTTGGGATGATTGTCGGGGACCTCATTTTTGGTGACAGTACTTTGTGGCCTTCCACTATGTTGAGATGGTTAAACTTCATGTCCCTCACGAGGCTTCGTGAGGGACGTGATTGTTGACCCTCTGCGGGGAATCGGATGATTTTCTCTCGCTGTTTTCAACCCTTTTCACAGAAACCCTGAAGAAAACCTACAAAAAACCCAAGAACCTTAAATTAACCCTAAAGAAACCCTAAATGAACCCTAAAGAAACTCTAAAGAAACCCAGCAAAAACCATATGAAAGTGTATATAGTGAAGTACCTGTGGGGCGTAGCGCACGTGCTGCGGGTATTTTTTTAATCTCTTGCATACAGAATACATATCAGAGATGTACATCTGCATAGATATGCATAGATATGCATAGATATGCATAGATATGCATAGATATGCATAGATATGCATAGATGTGCATATACTGAAGGTCGCAAGTGACTAATTAACTTCAGACCTGTTAGAACATGGACAAAAGACCGGTGGTGTGGTTTGCCACTCAGGTCCACGATGGTATCTCCTGACTGCGGAACCTAACGTCATCCCAGGACCGGCCGATTGGAAAGCGCTTCGTCTTGGTATTACCAGCGAAGAACCAACCGCAGCCTGTTGCACTTGTCGACCTCGGAAGCAGCGTCCGAGGTAAAGGACTCATACTTCTGGTCAGATAGAATGCAATGGTTCCCAGACTTTCAACCAATAGAAACCCAGAAATTGTTTTTTTGTCAAAATGGTGAACGCCAAAAAAAGGCAACTTTGATGGGAAAATGAAGATGGACCATGAGATTTTGAGTCCTGAAAGTGGGCGTAAAATGTTGACCTCCCAGTGCGTCTGGTCAGTCTTGGTTTCCACAGCAATGTTCGAAACTCAAAATGTCGTCCCATTATATGTATACTTGTTTGGTAAATACGGTTTCCCACAATGGATTGTGACCACCCCCCTATATTGGATAGTATAACCCCAACAAAATAGTGAACCAACAGGGCTTTTGAACATTGCTGGAGTGAACAAGATACCACAAGACTAAGGCATGGGCCCAAAATCCTCTCCAGAGGCTATACTCTGGGTCATGGTACTTGGGCTCAACCTGCTCAGCGACTGGGACAATGTCCCAGTCATGTACCATTTGGGAAAGCGTCCTGGACCCTCCCCTCATGTTGTTAGTTATGTATGTATGTATGTATGCATGCATGCATGCATGCATGCATGCATGCATGTATGTATGTATGCATGCATGTATGCATGCATGCATGCATGGATGGATGGATGTATGTATGCATGCATGCATGCATGGATGGATGGATGGATGGATGGAAGGAAGTATGTATGTATGTATGTATGTATGTAGGTAGGTAGGTAGGTAGGTATGTAGGTATGTAGGTATGTAGGTATGTATGTATGTATATTATATTAAATATATGATATAATGATATATATATATATATATATGTATTTTAAATATATATATACTTATGTACACAATGTGTATCTCAATCACTTTTTTGTGCGCCCATTCTTGGTCGTGTACGTGAATAGCTCGATAGATAGGTAGACCACCTTAAGTGCAATGCCGGGGGTCAAGACCCTAGGTTCCCTGGTGCACCCCTAATACCCTGGCAAACGGATGCTCATCCCATCTCTTTATGAGGCAATTGTAGGTTTTGACCCATCCCAGCACATCTTTATGAATATATATATATAACTATAACTATATATATATGCTCATTTACATTTCTATTTACAGTTGTGTATATATACATCTATAATTCATAATTATATGAAAAATAAATACCGCACTCAAACCATCCCCGTGCCAAGACCATTGTGGCCTGAAATCCATCCGTGGCCAAGTGCGCACAGAGCATCGCGCCAACCTCTTTGGTCTGCTGCGGTTCCGAGCTGACCACTTCGAACAGAGCCTCCACCGGGACTTTGGGGTTCATGGAGGGACTAGATTGAATTGATTAAATATATATTAAATATCCAACATATGATGGATGAATTTGATATATTACTGAAAAATTACTTAAGAATAAAAATTATGAGTGGACATTGAATTATCAGTCAAGTGCATGACCAACGGGAATAATGCTCGAAATGCTACTCGAATGGGAATATCATCCGATTTTTTTCATGGCAATGTGATGCCCTCAATTCTAGCAGCCCCCAACTCGTGGCAAGGTCGATTTGTGAGTTGGATACTGGGAGAGTCTTTCACCGTGAGAGTCTGGAGTTTGGGGGTCTACTGGGGAATTGAAGCCACAACGGGTATATCATGCTTCAGGATAGCAATCAAATATTAACCAACAATGTGAATCAATGTGATTTTTTTGTAAACTTTATAACTGGTATGAGCCAACCTACTTTAGGGCGGTGTGGCCACAAAACGCCGGGTTCAAAAAAACAAATAGGTGCCACAATTGGGAAAGGTTCAGAGGTGCCCCATTAGCCGTTCCCTTACTGATAGCATAACCAGGAAATATCATTTCAGAATAAATTCAACAATAATAGGGATATGTATCTGTTCACCATATTGGGGATATGATATGATATGATATGATATGATAACCGTATTGGCTATGGGGAATCTCAAAACATATTGGCTGTCGCTTTAGGAGGGCTCAAAACTGAACCATTGGACCCAAAGAAATTGCTGAGTTTGGTTTGGTGATCATCCAATTTGGGTCAAGAATTTTGAGAAATACCGAGGAAGACTTACAATACTTACATCATCTAACTGTAACTGCCACCGCGCACCTGCAATGCCACATCATCGGTGGGAATTTCCGTGTAGCAGGCCACACATCCCGCTTCTGCGGCTTGCATCACCGCTGGGTGAACGTACCTGGCGCAACGCAATTTTCATCACCGACTGATTGTAGCTGGATTCTCATGGGTTTGTCTGAAAATTGGGTATATTCCCAATGAAATAGCCATTTAATAGGGATAATGATCATTAACCATTGGGTGTAGGGGTACACTATTTTCAGACACACCCTCATGGGAAATTCTCTGACAGAAATGACATTTCACCCGCAACCCACGGGGAGAGTATCTACAGCTCTTGTGATGAATGTCTGATTGAAACATCGCTGGAATATCCAACGAAGGTGATTTTTCAAACAACGACGTTGAGCTTGATTCACACCAGGTCGAACCCCCCTCAACAGTAGGCCATCAGGTATCATCTTCTATGGGGATGGAAACCAATGGAAACCAAATAGATTTGAAACCGGGCCTTGCCACAAGAGCAGCCAGGGCCGACTGTCTTAGCAGCCCCTGCCACGTTTCTGCTGACGTCAAGTTCAAGCCCCTCTGGCTGCCAGGCTGGTTGTTTCAAACCCTTGAAATAGGTTGGCTACTCAGAGATTATCTTTACAAACAGGGATGGAACATGAAGATGCCCTTTCGAAAAAATTGAGCACAGCTAAAAACATCACGATGGTCATCTATGTTCGATGGCTAAAACATCTCGAATTTCCAGGAGTTCCAATGGCAGGATCTTTGTTTCAGCTTGTTTCACCACCGGAGATTTGACAAAAACGGCACCTCACTTCTCTTCAGCTGGCGCTGGGCGCACTCAGCAATTGCATGAGCACGTGCCTTGGACGATAGCAACCATGGTTTCATAGGGGGTGACACGGTGAAACCACATTCATTTGGAGCCATCAAAATGGATCTGTGATATATCAGGAAGATGAGATTATGACAGATTACATCTCTGAGTTTGGACATTTAGAACAGCTCCAATATGCTCCACCAAATCCTCCAAGGTACAGCCGTGATTGGACCCCAGACATATTTGCCGCCCACAAAGCCATCGATGCTGTCCTTCACTTCGATGGGTAGAACGACACTCACCGCGAGCGCCGCTGCGCCATGGCCCATGGAGTGCCGCTGCGCCAGGCGTCGCACCGAGAGAAGCCAGGCACAGAGCTGCGAGCGGCGCATCTCACGGACCGTGGCCTGTGCCAGCAATCCCCAGCCCTTCATGGCTTGTGTTCAGCTGATGTGGAAGTCACACTTTCTCATTTTTTTGCCGGGTTTTCTCCAAGAATGGGGCATACGAAAAAACCTCCAAAATCCACTGCTTCATCATCATCTTCCCCATCGCAATTGTTTATAGGATCAATCTCCCATTTTCAGGCACACCAAAATGTAGTATTCCGATGTATTCCGAGATTTCCATATTTGGGGATGATTTC